ATGGTATCCCATGACTGTAAAATAATAAGAGTGCTTGACCTACAGCAGGTGCTCAGAGAATTATGATTATTAATACTATCATTGTCATCACTTAAATTTTAATTTTTCCTTAATAAGTATTTTAATGCTAAAAAAAACTCACCATAGGTCCTGTCCCCTCTATGGGGTTTTGCAGTGTGCTACATAGAGTGTGCTAAACGTTGGCCCTAAGAGAGGAACAATAGTAACATACCAGAGACTCTCTTGCTTCTCCTGAAAAACACAAAAATATCCCTTTGTCCTTCCTCTCCAAGCAAGACAGACTACTGTAATCATTAGAATCAACTCTCCCAAAATAGTACACTAGCAATCTTTGCTTCAGGCAAACAGATCACTCATTAAAATTTGTATTTCTACCTGAAAATTCATTTTTTCTTCAAATGGCTTTATTCCCCCCTCCTCTTTCACTGGGAATGAACTCCCAATTCTAACACTGAGTTCCTTATGAACCGTAGTTGCTTCAAGAGTCAGGGAGCTTGGGTGCCTGGGTGCCTCAGTCGGTTAAGTGACTGCCTTCAGCTCAGGTCATGATCCTGGAGTCCCCGGATCGAGTCCCGCACCGAGCTCCCTGCTCAGCAGGGAGTCTGCTTCTCCCTCTGACCCTCCCCCCTCTCATGCTCTCTCTCTCATTCTCTCTCTCAAATAAATAAATAAAATCTTAAAAAAAAAAAAAAAGAGTCAGGGAGCTTTCTGCCCACCATAACAATGGAAAGTTAAATGATTAATTTGCATCTCTCTAGCTATGTGAGAACAGTCCTGGCCAGGGACCCAGCTATCTGTCCAAGGCTCAAGGACAGGTGGACTGAGCTTCCTGACTTTCCTTCAGCTTGATTTGCCTCACTTCTAGTAAGAACCAGCTAGCAACTTGCAGAAGGGGCAAGCAAGCTTTGTTGGCTTCCCTTGCCTGTCTTGTAATTTGGCAACACCCTCTGGGCTCTGGTGACCAGGTTCCTCTCTTCTAAATCCACAGTCCTTTCTCATTTCCACAGAACAAAAGCCTGAAATCCTCCCATAGAGCTTTAGGATGCTGATTCATTCATTTGTTCCACAAATATTTACTGAATATCTACTCTTTGCCAGGCACTGTTTTAGATGGTAAAAAAGAGAGTCCCAGGCTTTGTGGATTTTGCATTGTAATAGGGGAGAGATACATGTAAGGGTAACTGAAACAGTTTACAATGTCTGCTTCTATCAGTCGTTTAAACTTTGAGTAAGGTATAAACCCAAGAGCCGGTTTTATGGGCAAGGTAAACTGAACAGGAGAGGAATAAGGAAGGCATGTGAGATTTGGGGAGACTGACTTCCTGTGCTTCATTTTATTTTTTTTTTTTTTGCCTTTAAAATAGAAATGGGTACTCAGCCTTCTTTCTCTCAGTAACAGGGCCCCTGTAAGGGAACTTTATTCTTTACCTTGTGCAAACAGGAGCAGGGGTACCCTGAATGCATGCATGTCAACCGCAGTGACAGTGGGGGAATGTAGTAATAATGCTTCAGGAAATGAGTTATTTAACAAAAAACGAATGGAAGATGGGTGGCCTCAGCTCAGTGCCTTCAGGTGCAATGGCCTTAATATTTTAGATCATGGGGAAGAAGAGCATATCTGATATGCCGTAGGCAGTACCTGCCAGCGGAAAGTCTGAGTTTCAATTCAAATACTTAATTCTGTAAGACCCACCAAAATAGATGGGGAACATCTATTTTGGAGAGAAAAATTGTTCACGTTTTAGTATAATGTCGTGTCAGTCTTATTTGGTGCAATTTCTACACCTCAGCAGAGATAACCAAAATAATATCAAGCTAATCCCCTCCCAGAAGTCACATTTTTAAAATAAAAAATAGCTTAAAAATAAAAGCAGTGCTGTCGTACTTCCTTTTGAAGGTTCTTTCCAGGGAAGAGAGCACAAGGGAAGTTCTGGGGTGATGGATATATTCTAAATCCGGATGTGGGTGCTTTTTAGATAGGTGGATAAAGATGTAAAATATCATCATGCTCTCTAACTTAAGATTTGTATGTTTTTACTGTGTTTAATGTATACTCCAATGAAAAAGGGAAAAATAAGTAGAGGGCAAGTCTGAATTTTAGGCCTGCAGGTGTGTGGTGAACAAGACATAAATTATGGGCTCTGTGACCCATGAAGGGATTGATTAGGTCTTTACAATCTTTCCCCATTTGCTCAGCTAATGACATGATGTAGCGAACTACAAACCGTTAACTTTTCTCCTTGTATTGGTGCCCATCGGGTTCCAATACAAAACCTATCGAGAAAGGAAATTAGAAAAACAAATGAGGAAGAAGGAAAATACCGGCTGAGTTCTCAGCTGAGACAGAATTAGAGAGTTTTGTTTTGTTTTGTTTTTAAGATTTTATTTATTTATTTGAGAGAGAGAGTGAGAGAGAGAAAGAGCACAAGAGGGGGGAGCGGGAGAGGGAGAAGCAGACTCCCTGCTGAGCAGGGAGCCCGATGCGGGACTCGATCCCGGGACTCCAGGATCATGACCTGAGCCGAAGGCAGTCGCTTAACCAACTGAGCCACCCAGGCACCCCAGAATTAGAGAGTTTTATGCTTGTTGGGAATTTCTCTCAGTGGGGTTTTCCATTCTGTTCATAGTTTTGACCCTAAGAATTCTGGGTCCCTGTAGGATTGTGAGATCTTCCACAAAGGCAGAAATAATTGTGTGTGAGACCTCTTCTCCCTAAATAAATGTGAAAGTTTCACTTCACAAAAGAATCATATTCAGCAAGCCTATGATTAAGAATATTAAAACTGGGTTGTTTCCAATAGCAAATGAATGGTTGCGAGTTTTTCAAAGCTGTATTCATTTCCACTATTATTATTTTCTAACTTCTCAAAAGTAAACTTTTCAAAATCACGATGAAATTTCCAGTTTCTGATTTTGATTCACTTAAATTATGCACATGCCCCCTGATTGTTTTTGTCAGATGAACATATTTTTTATTTTATGAAAATATTTCTATTTTAAAAAATAGAGAATAAGTGGATTCTCATTGTGTTAATAACAAAACCCCTATTCATAGATCCTGCTGAGGTCTTTTCCCCCTTAATAAAGTGCCAGGTTTTAAAAAGTTTTGATTACTAGAAATTTTCATTTTGATTCTTTTACTCTGCCCTTAAAGAGTTCATGCCATTGATCTCAACAATATTGTGTTTTCCAAAAAATAAAGTCTTCATGATGGGAAAAAAATCTAAATATCTATATCTCCATTTATATCTATCTCTAAATGAACTCTACGATTGACAAAAATTATATATCCTGTCTAAAATGTTATTTTTACGTCAGTTGTTTAGAACTCAGAGCTATTTTTTTTTCCTTTAGAAACATGGTATTCGTGTTCTCAGAACAGCCCACAGAAGCTAGGTAATTTGTTTAGCAATGAAGGTGAAATACTCTATGTTTATGGCACAATTTTAATTATAATAAAATAAAGCAAAGGATTACTGAATAAGACAGAATTTTATAATTTTACCTTTCAGCTATTGTTTGAAGACAGGCATGTTTAATTACGTGAAGATGGACATCTTCAAATAAATTATACTTGTCAACAGATAATGCTGAATAAAGAGTAAAAACAAAATATGAATCACCCAACCAAACAGAAATACTTACTTTTAACATAGTGTTGTGTTTATTTCCAAGACTGAAAACTTATTTTTACGTAATTGAGATTATAATGCACTGTTCTGTATCTTGCTTTTCCCAATCGTTCTTGTATTTGAACAAAAATTTGAAGACTGTCAGCATAGATTCTTCACCTGATCTGACTTCAAATCCCAAACATTTTTTTTCTTTAACATAAGTGTGCTACTACTTTTTGTTTTGTCTTGGCTTGCATGGAATGTATAAAATGAAGCCAAGAAAGGAGAAGGGAGTTTAAGTACCCGTGCAAGCATCAGAGGGTTCTACGCGTATAAAAGATGTCTGAGAGAAAATGAACAAAATCGGGAGCAGCGAACTTTAGAATAACAGGGATGCTAATGTTAGAACTAAATGGGAATAAGCATCATTTTATCCTATCCCATCTTTTGAAAAGGAGATGAATGTTTATTGAGTTTAAGGTCTTGCTTAGGGGACAGAGAGTGTTTGAGGCAATACTGGGAAAGGAACCTAGATCTGGTGGTGCTCAATTTCCTTCCTTACATATCTGAGGTCTAGAAAAATTGAAGAGGAAGAGGTGTGCATCATCTCCTGAAGGAATAAACAAGGAAATGGCGAAAGAGATAGCAGCTCAGTCAATATCCTGATACAAGGCATGGTCAGAGCTGCCTGGAGCTCTGAAAAGTTAAGGAAACAGGGAAGGAGGAGCGGAGTAGCCTTTCTTTGGTGCAGAGAGGTGAAGACTATTTATAAGCTACCGTCCTTAAATGTTCTTTTAACTCAAGCATTACTTGCTCCAGATTTGTCAAAATTCTAGAATAAGTGCTACAATATATTGTGAACCTATCCATGTGGATTAGCAAATGAAGAGTTAAATATTTGCCCATTTGATGGAAGGAGAACAATGCCTGTCACAACCAATTATGCTTATCACATCATTTACTGTCCTTGAAGCAAAGTCCACCTGTCTCAAAGTATAACTCTAAAATAGTATAAACTTTACGTCTTTTGGACATCAGTGTGAGTAAGAGCCCATTGTTGTCATATGATACTATTTCTCAGCACTCTTGTTGATTCTAAAATAAACTTGAGATCACTGAGGTGGGAGTTAGAGGCTGGAAGATGGGAAATAGAGAGTAAGGGGTTATAACGAAATTCTATAATGTTCCTAACATTTACAAAGGACTACTTGTTCACTTGAAAAATAGAAAGCATTGCCTTGTGTGGATCTTAGATTTCATTATTTCAATCAGTGTCACTTTGCTTAATGCCAAATGTTGATTTGTTTCTCAAGATTCAGACCTTGCAGATCTAAAATTTGTTTTTAATTTTTTTTCTTTGCTAAGACTCACCTTGACCTTATCCTGTCCCATGGACTTGAAGAATTTTCCAATGGATGTCCAGACTTGTACAATGCAGCTGGAGAGTTGTAAGTCCCCACTGTTGAAATGACTGCCTGCTTGTTTTAACCAATGACCTGGTTCTTTTAGTGTGTCATTAAGAAGAAAGGACCCATAAGACTCATTCTCTACCTATTACCAAATCCCAAGGCCCTAATGGAAGGATAAGCAAGTGTGCATGTCTCATACACAGACAATCTTTCAAGTAAAATGCCAAGTAACTTGCTCTTCCTCAAAAAACAAACCCGATTTAGTAACTTTTATTTGAAATGAAAATGTCTCCTGGGAAAATTAAGATTATTAGTCATTCAATCTCTAAAATGAATCACTTTCTCATCAGAAAATTATATTTCTTTCTATCTTATGCTCATATAGACCATCACCCCAAAGGAATTTTGTCAGGAAGGGATAACTGATTTGAGGACAAGATATAGGGACCTTAGCCAGAGGAGGATGCAAGAACAGGGAGGCCAGAGATGATATGGAAAAAAAGGCATTTCCCTTAAATGGGCAGTGGATCCACAAAGGCACGGGGAAGGAAATAGAGAAATGTAATCTACTTTATCCCCTTTATGCCCTAGCCCTGATTTCACTGACATCTTTGACATGTACCATACGTTGCTGATGCCTCCAAGGTAATGGGATTTTTAGGCAAGAGACATGAACATTTTTTTGGCTTGTTCTGTCACTTTCTCTGTTTGTAAAGTACAGAGAATAATAAGCAATACTGACCTACAGGGATGTTAGGAGATTTAATGAAGCAAGGGCAAGCAAATACTTTTAACTTCTTGGTTTAGAAAAATAATAAAGATAAAAAGACATATCAACTATTATTAAAAAAGAGGCAGTGACAGGGTTTCCTTCTGATCACTTAAAATCACTGTAGATTTCCCTTGAAATTCCCTACAGAAATAAACAAAATAATGAAATGTCTTTGTTTTAAGAAGTTGTCAGGGACAAAATGAGAATTTCTGATTTACAATAGGCTTTATGTATTTATTTGTTTCCCTATTGCCTCTTCTTTTGAGAAGAAAGTTGAGAAAAACATTTTCTTATATAATGGTTCCTTCTTTGTGTCTCCTCTCCTGCCCCAAATTCTCTCCTGCCTCAACCCAATACTTATTTTCTCTGTAAAACAGCAAGCATAGCTGTCATCTGAGGCTCCCCCAAGACTTAAAAAACTTCAATTAGTAAATATGCTTGGTCCTTGCAGGCCCTAGAAGTAACGAAACCAAAGCAGCCGCAAAGTGTTTACCACTAACTTTGAATTATTCCTTCCTCTTTTACCCTGGTATTACTTACTTCCTCCTTCCCCATCTCTTTCCCTCATCTGTCTGCCCCAGTCTGGGGCTTCAGGATGGCTGACAACAACTATTACTGTGGTGGCCAGTAAGAAGCTGACCAGATAAGGATATGGGATCACATGGATATGGGGATATGAGCTTCTCACATTGGTTGGAGAAACCCAACAAGTACTCATATAGCGTTCAGTGCAAGAGACAGGGTTAGTTAGCCATTCTCTTTGTGGAACATCAATACTTATATATTCTCCTCTTTTTAATTCCCAGCTTTCCATGTTTTATTTTTTGGCTTTGAATAGAAAAGGTGGCTCAAAGAAAGAGGAAAGTAGATTCCAATTAACTTTGTCATTGATTTCTGGGTAGCTTTGGCGAGTCACTATCTTGTAGTAAAAAAGAATCTATAAACTCAATAAATATGCTGAAGTTATTGGCCCACCAGGACCTAACATAATATCCCTTGTCCTCCTCACTCTCATTTTAGAGTTCAAATATCACAAAGAGGGAAGGGAGAGAAAAGATGCCTAAAAGAATAGCAGCCTTCATTTCTGGGGTACAAAAAGATCCAGAAGCACTTAACAGATAATGACCTAGTTAGCAGGAGCTTGGAAACTAAGAGCTAACTCTGGTTTACTAAACTGATAACAGTCTTACTTTGGATGGCTCAGGATTCATAGAACAATATGACCTTATATGATGGAGAATCTGTTTTACTTCATATTAATCATTGTGATGAGTGGGCCCAGTTAGCAAGATACTAGCACAAATGAATATTCCTGATTTGCATTATTCCACAACTTCCTTTTAGGTTGCTTGTTTACGTCTCCCCCACTTGGTAAAATAACAGAGGATTGACCATAAGAACCTTAACATAAGCTTTCTTTTTTTTTTAATTTAAATATAAGTAGCCAACATATAATACATCATTGCTTTTTGATATAGAGTTCAATGATTCATTAGTTGTGTATAACACCCAGTGCTCATCACATCACATGCCCTCCTTAATGCCCATCACCCAGTTACCCCATCCCCACACCCACCTCCCTTTCCACAACCCTCAGTTTGCTTCCCAGAGTCAAGAGTCTCTCATGGTTTGTCTCCCTCTCTGATCTCTTCCCATTCAGTTTTCCCTCCCTTTCCCTATGATCCTAACATCAGCTTTCTGAAAACAAAGCTAATATACCCTAGAAGAGGGGCCAGGTTTACAATGGAAGTGTTTTAGGCAGGACTGTGATGAATTCATTCTCATTTAATAAAAATAGAAGAATGCTTTTCATTTGAAATACTAAGACTAGTGCCATGAATTGGATTGTCTTACTGGATTGTCACAGACACAGCTCTTTCTAAAATAAAGACAACCTTCAAAGGATTTTTATGTTCATTTATTTGTTTGTTCTTCAGAAAGATTTAGTAAATTAAGAGGGCAGAAGAAAATGGACTTTATAGATTCCATTCTCCCATTACACAGAAAAAATCATTCAGAAATAGCTTGTGCTCTTCAATTTCTTTGGCTCCAATGACATGTAGTTGTCACGATGATTGTAGCTCCTTTACTAAAAATGATCTTGAATTGATTGGGCATGTGTCTGCTTTAGATGGTTTCCTTGTTTGTTCTTTACATGGCTAGACTTTCAAGCTTTCCTGGAAAGATGCATTAAATTTTTCACTATGATTTGTTTACTCCAGTTGGGTACACGATGAATGACCTGATATTTGAGTGGTTAAGCGATGGTCCAGTTCAAGTTGCTGAAGGACTGACCCTGCCTCAGTTTATTTTGAAAGAAGAGAAGGAACTTGGCTACTGCACAAAGCACTATAACACTGGTAAGTTTACTTTCAGCTGCTAAACCCAAGTGGGCTCTATCTGCAGTGTGTGCTATATATCACATCACCTTGATTGCTATATCTTTACCAAGAAAATGGAGCTACAAGGCATAGACCTTGGCTCAAAACCCCCTTTACAGATAAGATGTCTGCACCCTCTGGAATAAGTCAGTGAGCACAATAGATAATTTCTCCAAAATGGAGAGAGAAGGAAAAAGATTTGGGATTCTTTTGCTGTTCCCTTGCTGACCATGTGCTGTCAAATGAGTTTGAGGAAATGTGTACAAGACCTTGTATATAGTGCAGGAAATGTATAAATTCTGGCCCGTTCCTGGCATCCACTCTTGCCACTGGATCCTCAGATCAGTTTGTACTCTCTGACTTAGTGGAAGAGAGGAATAACCACATAGGACTTTGTAAACCCAGAAATACAGTTGCTATGCTCTCCAGTCCTTGATGGTGATAAGAATTTGGATGAAAACCAGCTGGCGGGAATTCACCTGGTTCTAAAGCCACGCACTGTCATAGTGCTGATAGACACACAGGTCGGGGGAGAATATGAGGAGGTAGTAACAAGTGAGCCTATGTTGTTACCTAGAAGATCATGCCTGCCCAGTAAAGTTGATGGCTTTTCCTACAAATGTCCCAGTCTTTGATACCACACAAGCTGATCATGGAGAGGCAAGCTAGACAGGATAATTTATTCAGTGACTGCTCCAGATCCCTTGCTAAATAGAACATTCATGAACACTTATTCCAATAGTCAATAGTGCTTCTTATGAAGTGACCAAAACCTGGTTCCAAAGTGTTTTTCCTGACCAAGAGGAATCCATCCCTATCTCTCATAATTTGTGTGGACTAAGCCAAATTACCTTCTGGGGTTCTGTCTCCAAACCAATTAAGGGGAAAGAAAAGTGGCAAGGGACAGGAACATTTGTCTCTTAACAGTATGTTAAAAGTTTTAATATCTTTGTATACACTCCTTTTATAAGTATTGTAACACTGTAAACAGATTTTAGGAATATTCTAAATGTCCTCAAGCAATTACCCAGAAAGCTAGGAAATGGTTACAATGACTAGATTATATGCATGTCATATACAAATGTACATTTTTCTCTTATTATGGATGGCACAAAGATAGATACACAATTATCCAATTAATTTGAGGGCCCCATGTGAACTTTACTATTTTCAACTGTTACATATTATGCATTATATATTATATGCTATACATACATACTGCAGCTTATGTATTGTATGTTATATATTACATATTATAACCTCACAAAATGTCACTATTTCTACTTGTCAGTTTCTGACTGTCTTGCAAATTCTGAAGTTCTGTCTAAATAATCAAGCTACAAGCACAGATTTAGAAAAATCATTCAGTCCAGTGACTCTTTTTTTTTTTTTTATTAAGTAGGCTCATGCAGGGCTTGAATTCACAACCCTGAGATCAAGACCTGAGCTGAGATCAAGAGTCAGATGCTTAACCAACTGAGCCACCCAGGCACCCTTAGTCCAGTGACTCTTAAGATCACTCATTCTCACAAATGTTAATTCCATTACTGGTTGAGTTGAAAAAGAGTTGAATTGGTTATGTAGGGTTAGCATTTTGTGCAATCTTCCAAATCCACCTGTAATACTCTTAAAAACTGAACAGTGGGAGGCTAGAATGGGAAAGATAAATTCAAATTGGATCTTAAATCATTATTTCCTGCTTTCAGGAAAGTTTACCTGCATCGAGGTTAAGTTTCACCTGGAACGCCAGATGGGATACTATCTGATCCAGATGTACATCCCCAGTCTGTTGATAGTCATTTTGTCCTGGGTCTCCTTTTGGATAAACATGGATGCAGCCCCTGCTAGGGTTGCACTGGGCATCACCACTGTCTTAACAATGACCACCCAGAGTTCAGGTTCCAGGGCATCTCTGCCAAAGGTAAGAAGTCTCCTCACTTGACAACAAGTGACAGGAGGCGGGGGGGGTGGCGGCTGGGGGGTGGGGAGGGGTTGTCAAAGGTCTTCTGGGCTGGAGAATTCTGTAAAGACAGAAATGTTTGCCATCCTGTGGTACTGTTGGAGGTGCAATGCAATAAGAGAATGAAGAGCTGAGTTTGAGAGAATTAGAGCTCTGAAGACATGGGGGACCTTTCTGATCAGATCAATTAGGGGAGAGGAGAATCAGGGTTGAGAGAGAAGAGGAATGAGTGAAGGCAGAAACATGGCTCAGGAATTATGTCTAAGAAGCCCTTGAGTGCTTCTGACCTCATGTTGTTCATGAGCCATGAAGCTTGCAGGAATTAGAGTAAGATTGATGCAACTTATGCTGTACTATCAACTATTTATTGGTGAGCCTATTGTGATTCATGTGCTCAGTGAAGTCATTTACAATAATAAGTTTGAATTAAGCTCCTGGAAATTTACACAGAAAAGCCATGTCAATGAGTATATATGAGAAATAAATATAAATATTAGAGTGCAGCAAAGTAGATACACAAATCTTTGTCATTCCTTAATTTATCTTAATGGTTGACACACAATTATTTTCAAGTGACATAGTTACCTAGAGAAAGAACAGTGGAGTCTTCCAAGATGGTGAAAATTCTGACAACCATGGCAGGTGGACAGAGAAGCATGAGATGGATAACAGGTACACATAGACATTTTGTAGCACTTCAAATAATAATCCATAATGGCTGTATAATTTATTTTTATGTAAGGGCAGGTCCTCTATATTTGTAAATATTGCTTAAGCAAACAATGATAAATGTCCTGTTTGTGAAATGTCCCAGCACTCCAGAAGTGTGCCTGTGTGTGTTTCCTTTTCACTGAGTACATTGAGCCGCTGGCTTCAATTTTCCAGGAGTGTGAGTTCAATTTAGTATTCACTGTACACTGTCTCATACTGGTTGAGCAGTCTCTCCAAAACCTAGTTCCAGCAAATAATTGAGGTATAATCCCCTATCTTTGCTGGCTTGAGCTTATGTTCAGTTGTGCTACATTTGACATAAGCTATGTTAGATCATGTTCCACATTAACTTCTGTGTTGGAAGATAAGATGACATATGGAGGAGGTCTGTGGCTATACTGGAGATGGACTGAATGCTGGGAAAATTGTCATACAAACTTTCCAACTTCTATGCCTCCAAAGATAAATATTAGATTTGTATGGTAATAGAGAAAGGGATAGATCCATCTCTGATACTTCTTAATTTTCTAGAATAACGAATAGTATAAAATACTTGTGTTGTATTTCTATTGAAATACAGATATCAGAAATACTAACAGCTTTCTTTTCAGCTACATAATAAATCAATTTTACCTAATAAAAATTCTAATCCACAGTGTGCCACAACCCGAACAGGTTCATTTGCTTATGACTTGTTAGTTATTAGTTCTAGCCATCACTGCATGCTATGTCATTAAACCTCAGGATGCACAAAACATGTAGTTTACAATTTAATAGATAGCTAAAGTATTGGTTACAAGTTGTAAGAAGATAATCAAAAAAGAAGACATTTATAGCCTCCAAACTCCCATTGCTATGAAAAAAGTAGTCATTTAATTTCAAAATGGAAGCTTTTGTTTTTATAAATTTGTTATTCATTCTTATTAGCTATTATGATTCTACATCAAAGGTCAAAACTATTGCTAAATCAATGGTCACTGATCGGTGATCTTTGTCTGTAGAGGCAATCAGGAACTCAGATAAACTAAAAGATAGTATATTCAAAAGTCATTTTATACTTGGCTCTGAACTCATAGTGGTTATCCTTTAGCCATCAGTAGGTTTATCTTCCTACGTATGTTTTTCTTGGGCTATTATTAAACATGGTTGGCTCTCAACTGACTGTGGGGAGATGTGACTCACATGGATTACAGTGAGAAAGGAAAATGGGATAAAAAGTGAGTTATAGAAAATAAAGAATTGACCATACACTTATACACACACACACACACACACACACACGTACTCATTTTAATTTATAAACACTGTAGTCCCCAAGCAGATGCCCTACTATGCTGATTGTACAGTTGTTCCAGAGCCTATAGCAACGCCCTTTACAGACTAGGCATGCACCTTGCACTTTCAAAATAAGACATGCTTGTTAGAGAAAAAATAGAAGATACAGAAAATATCATTAACTATCCAGTAAGTAACTGTTGTTAAGACTTTGGTATATTTTCTTCCAACCTTTCTTCGACGCACATTTGTGTAGGCAAACCCACACACATGCACACACAGAAAATTGGATCAAAACTGTCTAAAAAGACAGTTATGTACTATCTGCCATTTCCATAGCATTAAAAATCTATCATGAACATACTTTGCAGTGACATAATAGCCTATCTGGCATATTAACAATCATTTATCTTACTATCCTGGATATTTAGGATTTTATTATTTGCTTTCCTAAGTGTGATCATTATAAATATATTTGTATACGAGTGCTCGTGTCTCACTGTGTTCTAGAAGACATGTGTATATATTTTCTAAATCTTATTTTACAATGGAAAAAAGAAGAAATTGAGGATGATTAGAGCAAATGAGGGACAATCTGTAGAAAAATGCCCAATATCTTCCATTCAGGCAAAAATTTTGTCTTGTTCATCATGTTAACTTCAGCACCTAGTACAGTGTGTGACTTACACTAGATGATCAATAAGTCCTCAATGAATGGATAAAGAAGTTAATGAACAACCATGTTTCCCCTTGTGAAACCATGTAGAAGATACACTTAACACACACTCTATGCGTAAATGTTTTACAGAAAATATTAGAATTCTAATATATGGAAGAATCTAATAATAATATGACATATACCACAGAGGAATGAAATTTCTCTAAAGGACTATGTCTCCCTTTTCAGAAGTTCTCAAGTAGACTTTGGGAAGTTAAGAATATATCCACAAATATGTATTTTGAAATACAGGCAGGCCTCCCAGATCTAAATCTTAAAGCCTTCTTTTCACTTAACCTCTCCAAGCCTGTTTCCTCATTTCTAAAATGAGACTAACCTTATCTACTCCTTTTAAAAATTGAACTAGGATGAGATGAGGTATTACTTATATAAATCATTTAGCCCAGTTTCTGTACATGGTAGGCACTCAATTCATTCTCGTTATTTTTATTGTTATTTTTCCCTGTCCATAATATTAGTAATATTAGAAGTAATATTAGAAGATTCATAAATGGCCTTATGTGTAGAAGATACCATGTTCTTCGGATGGCCCATTATTTGGTTATAATCATGATGCCAATGAGATGAGCCAAAGTTTGTTATATGCATGTGTGTGTGTATACACCCACGTATGTGTTTTTCATAGGTAGACAATTTATTGAATGGGTTAAGCTCTAGAGCATCTGAATAAGCAATGGCTCTGTTTTTCTCTAATCACTGCCATTAAACATCCTCAGTTGGTTCTATTTTCCCTGTCCCTGGAGGACACTTCAGAAAGATTCCATAGGTTCTCAGTTACTACATGCCATGCCATTAGACCGAGAATGAACAAACATGTGCTTTACAATTTAATAGACAGCTAAAGTATTGGTGATAAATACTTTAGCACAGTCCATTTTTTTTTTTAATTTATTTGACAGAGAGAGACACACGGCAAGAGAGGGAACACAAGCAGGGGGAGTGGGAGAGGGAGAAGCAGGCTTCCTGTGGAGCAGAGAGCCTGATGCGCAGCTCGATCCCAGGACCCTGGGATTATGACCTGAGCCGAAGGCAGACGCTTAACAACTGAGCCAACCAGGTGCCCCTTTAGCACAGTCCATTATCAGATTTTTTAAAAATCAGCTAGCTTGAAATAAAACTTCAGTCTCACAACCAATTCAATGCTCTTTCCCTCCCTTGCCCCCATCCCAGACCTAACCTTTGGCTTGAAGATGTCCGGCAAGGTGGACATGTTGTCTGTTCTTACCCTTGCTTTTCACAGCTCTTACCCTTGCTTTTCCAATTCTCTTCCCCACTCCTGTTGCTTGCTTCTCTACTATTGAGGGCTGAGGGTGAAAGAGTGGATGGAAGAAAGTTGTACAAGACTGACACTATTGTATTTGAACTCTTGCCTTCTCTAATGGCAGGCCTCCAAATACTGGCTTTCTTGATGGTTGAACTTGAGTTCCTTGGTAATTCCTGGGGATCCCGCACATTACACCATTCCTGGATGAATAATGCAATCTCTGGCTGGTGTCTTATAATTTCCTTTTATCTATCACTTCCTAGCAGCATATCCCATACAATTGCTTACTCCCAGGCTCTCCTTACTCAAGTAGATAGCCCTCCTGGTTGACATGTTTTGAAGATGATTCACATCTATCTTCCACACCATTTATTTGGCCCCCCAAGAATATGTGTTCATTGCCTTGCTAAATAGCGGAAATGCAACTTAACTGTTAATGCATCTGCTTTTACCCTACCATCTTGGGTATTCTAGCTAACCTACTGCCTTCAGAATTTATCCAGGTAAGAAACAAGTATTGGTGTTCATTTTTTAGTACAAAACCCAAACTACTGAGGACACATGACAAGTTCTCCTAATAACACCTTTACTCCCTCATCCAGGAGCAACCTTTTGGAATTTCAGCAGCTCAGCAGATACATGACATGTGCAGGAGATGCCAGTCTCTTTTCTTACCAGGGTGGGGATAAACCATCTTCTCCCCGTCTTTAGGAGAATAGGGAAAAGGCCACAGCACTCTCAATATCCACGAATCCCATTACTTCAATTAATTCTTTTCAAATGTCTAGTCTTCTGTAATGGTACAGGCTATGGAGTACAATTGTCTCTAGATAGCATTTGCTTTGTTCTAGCAAGTCCTGTATCCTTCATGCATATGTGTAGAGTCTCCCTTCAGAGTGAGGTTTTAGCTGACATTCTGAGACAAGAATATCCCATTCCCATACTATTACACTTACGAATAAACATACTTAA